CAGCAGGAAAACAGAGAAGGAGAAAAAGTTTAGATTTTATAAAAACCTAACTCTGTTCTTTACATGAATGTGCCATTTTATATTACATATACCTGGGAGCAAACAAGCTGGCACTTTATTTCTTCCCTCCTGTTCAAAAGACTGCTTCTGCCTCAGACATGGACACTCCAAGCCCAGGGACCACAGGCTCTGACTTCTCTTCACTGCTCTCCGTTTCCTCATCTGCAAAATGGGCATCATAATCTGGGCCTGGAACAGCTCCTGGGGTTCCTAGTGTGAGAACCTGTTCTGTGTCATAAACATCCAATACAACAATACGGGTGAAAAAAAACTCTGTAAAACTGCTTTGGACTTCCCTGGTGGCACAGTGGTTGAGAATCTGCCTGCCAATGCAGGGGACACAGGTTCGAGCCCTGGTCTGGGAGGATCCCACATGCCACGGAGCAACTGGGCCCGTGAGCCACAGCTACTGAGCCTGCGCGTCTGGAGCCTGTGCTCCGCAACAAGAGAGGCTGCGATAATGAGAGGCTCGTGCACCATGATGAAGAGTGGCCCCCGCTCGCCGCAACTAGAGAAAGCCCTCGCACAGAAACGAAGACCCAACTCTGCATAAATAAATAAATAAATAAATAAATAAATAAATAAATAAATAAATAAACTGCAGGCTTTTTACACGAGGGATAGTCATCAAGACAAGTGGCTGTTCTCCAAGTGATATCGATGAAGAGTCCTAGACTTGGAGTCATAAATATTGGGCTTCTTAGCCTAGGCTGCCTCAAGCACATACAGTACTTTTAAGTGAATTAGAAAACAGCACCCCTTGTGACACAGTCCTGCAGGTCTGTGGATTGATGAGCAAGTAGCATTTTGGGGCCAAATAGAAAAAAGCACCCCTTCCTCTAGTGGATGCTGCCCTGTGCCTGGATTCTTGGATAACTCAATTCAGCAGCCCTGGCTCTTCCTGCTTAAATTCTGGAACCACACAATCATTTTCACTACCTCTGAGCCTCCTTTTCCTTCCAGACAGAAAGACAGAATTGAATTGTGATTTCTATGACCTCCTTGAGCTCTAAAAACTACAAAAATTCTAATGAGCTTTCCCATCCTTCTACACAAGGGACTAGACATCACATAGATTGAAATTTCTGAGCTTGATCTTTTAAAAATCGTCTGATGACACTCCTTAATATTTGAATGAAATTGTGTATGGTTTGATGTGGGGCAGATTAAAACATAAATGCTTGAGAGTATACGTGATGTCCCAGGTAGAACCGGACATGGGTAGCCTGCCAAACAAGAATAACGACTCTGTGTTTTCAGCAAGGAAACAAGATGGGAATCTACCCCAATGCCCATCTATTGAGGTCTCTGCTCACTGTCTGTGGGGCTGAATGGCAGTCAGTGCTGGAGTCCTAGCCTCTCCCAGAGCGCCCAGAGCATCCAGGAAGCGTGGGCTGCAAGGAGCCAAAGACTGTTTTCTTTGTTGACGCCTTGTTGCCAGAAAACAGAAATTAGATCCTTGGCCAGAACCTCCTATCAGCAAATCTGAGTGCCAGCAAATGCTTCTCAGTAAGAGAGCAGACAAATAGCAACCTCCCTTTCCAAAGCTCAGGGATTTTCAGCCCTAAAATTAGGTTTCAAGTTTTAAAATCACACATACACATAATGGACCCATTCACAATTCTGAAAAAGTCGGTAGAAGTAAATTTGGTTGTATTTGTGAATATTTCTAAAATCAGTTTTATGGTTTGCTTCGTTTTAGCTTTGTTTTGTATTTAGAGCAAGAGGGAGGGCTTTTGGAAACAATTACAGCCAATGATGTCATTTTCAGAGAAGGAAACGGAAGCCCAGAAAGGGAAAGA